GTAAATTATGAAACAAGAAAGAGAAATGGAGGATAAATTTCCACAATGCATATGTCATTGTGAGATCCTTATCATGAAATAGATGTAACAATACCTTGATTAAATCAGGCAATACCAGTAAGTAATATACACATTATGATGTTATAGACAAACATGTAGGTTGATATGCACATCAAATTAGTCAACAAATTAATAAATTAACTTAAATTATCAAAGGAAACAGAATGTACCTATGAAGTACAAACATCATTATATTGCTTCAACAAGTTTCTTCCAAACTGCAAGTAGAACCTTCTCTGAAAAAAAGGGGAAAAAGACATCTAAACATAGGGGGAACAAAACCGTCGACTGCGGTCAAACCCCTTAACACTAGCTGGAATGCAGCTTAACACTAGCATTATTGGCTGATTTGGGCTGCTTTTAGGCCGATTTGGACTGCTTTTCGGCCCAAAACGCTTTTGTCTCGAAAGCGCTTTTGAGCATATTCTTGCGTGATGAAAGTGGCCCAACCACTTAATAGGCCTGCTTTGGGCTTTAGTGGAGCAGCAAGGCGCTGCTTTCAATTTTTTTTTGAGCGATTTTCTCCACTCTTTACAGGATTAAGATTATCCATACTGCTCAATATATTTTATGTTATGCACACTGCCAAGTTTACCTGTTATGATTATATGTCTAGTGCAATATAACTTGGTCCTTTTTATTTCTTTTGTTCAAGAATGTTGGTAAACCTGTTTTGACCTGGGACCCACAATCCAACCTTGCTTTGAGCACAGTCATGTTAAGAACACAGAATTTTCAACAATGGGTAAGAGAGAGGGTTAAAAAGAGTTCGGTGCTGGTTTGTTTTACTAAAATTTTTTTATTTCCAAGAAGGGTTAAATTAATCAGCACACATGCTCAAAATGTTTACCTGGATTAGGAAAGGGCTCATGAACCAGCTTTCCTAAAAACATCTTTTAATCTGGCTTAAAACTTTCAATTGCATATGTTAACTCCTGCTTAAAACTTTTACATACCCGTCGCCTCAAGAGGCCAATACATTTATCTAATACTGGTATTTTTTTAGTTTTTCCATCTTTTAGGTGTTAAGACCCTAATGCCACTAGGAAAGAACCCTAGAGGGGGGTTGAATAGGGTTTATGTTAATCTAATCCGATTTAATACTAATTAAAAACTAATTAACAATATCCTAGTAATTATGATATACAACAAGATATATGAGCAATGATATGCAATATAAACAAGGGCGATATAAACATGCAACAATGGAGATATAAAAATATACAAGAATAAATGCGCCAAAGCCAAACTCAAACACAAGAAAATGATCACGGAGTTCGGTCCTTTCGACTTACGTCTCCGCTCCCCACTCCCGGGGAAAATCCACTACACAACCGGGTTTTCGACGCTCACCCGAAAAACGTTTACACCTCACAAGTTTGGTTTTCTGGCTCACCGAAAACTCTACAATCTCACACTCTTGCAATCACACTCTACACCCTCTAAGAGTTGGTCTCTAGTCCGTGTCATTCCTCAAGTATTCGGATTTACCACCTCTCGTTAGGCTTTACTACCGACGTCACTCCTCTTGGAACTGACTCCGTCTCTCACCACACACTCCTCTCGGTGTACAAGTGTAATACAATGTGTAACTCACAATAAGGCTTAAATACAAATGATTTGTTCTCTATAATGGATGAGAATACAATGTAGGCTCTCTCTCAAAGATACATTCACCACAATCCAAATTATATAATATGTGTAAAATACTAAAGCTCAATGGTTGTGTGTGTAAGCAATGAGAAATAATCAAAACTAAACTCAATTATGAAATCTAGCTTAATAAAAAATGATAATAAAACAAATATATAAATGTAAAGCTAGAATTGAGTTTAAAATCTTCTCTAGAAATCAAGAGAGAGAGATGAAGTTGAAGTCCAAACACCAAATATATGATCTCCTCCTCTTGTAAAAACAACTTCAAACAAAACACACTTGAAACAAAAACTTAAACAACCTCTTAAACTTGTTTAAAAACTTTCTTAAACATCCATATGAAACAATGAAAGTTGAGAGCTTTTTATAGCCTCTTAAACCACCTAAACCCCCCCCAAAAACTCATAAAAACAAAAACTAGTCGTTATAGGCTGAAAACATGTCATCAGTCTACTGATGATCTCACCAGTTGACTGATGAAGTCGACCGTTGACAGTTTTGGCAGATTCTGGAATTTTTACGTAGCTGGTTTTATAAAATCAATTAAAAATAGCAAATCAACTCCAAAAATAATAAAATTTTGAGGTATGTTTCTAAACATGTAGATAAACATGTTAGAGTAAGAATTTCTGAAATATCACTTTTCATTTGTGAGAAATAAATATTTGAACACAGATATTTCAGATTCTGAAAACTGCTGAAACACCCGATTTTTAAAAATCAATTCAGCATAGTAAATCAATTCCAAAAATTATAAAATATTAGAAAAAGTTTGTAAACATGTAATATAACATGTTAGAAAATGAATTTCTTAAATTGCATTTTCCATTTGTGATCATTTATTTTGTAAACCGTTCAAAACATGAAAATATATTTATATACGTGTTGTTAAGTTTTATTGTTTATGTGGCTAAACACATTGTATATCAAAACCAAAAATGATAAATATGAAACATGTATGTATGTATATAAATAAGTATATTTGTTTCATATTTAAATGATAAATATGAAACATGTATGTATGTATATAAATAAGTATATTTGTTTCATATTTATATAAACTTGAAAACTATAAAACCGTATGTATGTATATAAATAAGTATATTTGTTTCATATTTATATAAACTTGAAAACTATAAAACCAAAACATGTATGTATATGATTGAGCTTAAAGTATCTACACACATAGTATAAATCTTAAACTAAATTACCCAAGTTTGATTGATCTTCAAAGAGCCTGTCTTGATTGCGGATGAAGCTTGATATTGAATATGACTTGAAGTGCAAATGGTTTCATATCGACTATTTCCGTCAACCTCCATTTGATATAATTGTTATGGCACAATGGCATCCAACCTCCGACATCGATATTTGTGTAGATTACCTAACAAAACAAATGCAAGCACTTGACGCACAATGTTAGGAATTGTTTGTAATCATCAAAACAAGATTAGGGAGTAGGCTCATAAACATGAGACCAACATTAGGTTTGTCTTTATTACTACATTAGTTAATATGGATATTCTAAAGTTGAAGATGATACTAACTAATAGATTTTGTTATTTTCAAAAGTTTGCGCTAGTGTTTCCAATTATCTTGTTAGTCTATACTCTTTGAAAAACTAAAGGTGTTACTACTCATCAATGGTGGTTAGGGTCACCCACAAACCTGCAGAATATGATACTTTAGAGGTTCCATACTTCTAAAAGCATTTACATCATGAAGCCAAAATATCTAGATCTGAACTTATAAGAATGGCTAGAAAGAATGGAAGGTCTTCCTAGATTGCCTGTGACAACTTATTTTTCTCTCTTGCTCTCGAGATGATGCAATGATTTAAATGTGCAGACATCATTCTTGTGATTCTGTGAATCTGTGGTGTAGAAATTTAGGTAGTTCATTGATCTAGAAATTTGGCCCTCTATGCTTCATCCTTTTCTTTCTCTTAGGATGGTTTTAACAGTCAAAAGACTCAAAACAAACTATAATATGGCTGTCTTACTGGTAACGAGATAAATATAATGAATAACTCCTGAACTTCAAATGCAGTTTATTCCATATGGTGATTTCGTAAACTACTGGATCATCTTGACTTGCTCTAATATATTTGTTCTGAAATCTCACAGTTAATCAGAAGACTCTTACCATTGAATAATCCTCTAGCTTATTGCATATGTTGCTTTAATATGATTGTTGCTAAACTGTATTTCTTTTGTGCTTCTCAGCCTTGCAAAGGCATATTGCTTTTTGGGCCTCCTGGTACTGGAAAAACTCTTCTCGCAAAGGCCCTTGCTACAGAAGCTGGAGCAAATTTTATTAGCATAACTGGTTCAACTCTTACCTCAAAGGTATGTACCTCAGTTGAATCCCTTTTGACCTAGTTTATTACTCCGTTTCTTTTGCCCTTTCAACATAAATTCGTATTTGTTTAGGTTTTTAGATTATAGTTATGATTGTCATCAATTAGCCAGTGCAGAGGGACTTTAAATGAAGTTTTAAGGTCCTCCATGCAAGTTTTGTTCCAAATTTCCAACAAATTATGTTTATTAATTGGTTACAGTCATTTTAATTGGTTACAGAAGAATTTTGAAACTTGTAACTGGAAAACCTAGATGAATACCTTGCTTCTTTTCTGAAAAAGGTGAAAAATATTAAATGAAGTTTACTTTGTATAATTTTGTCAGTACCTTTCTTTCTTTCTTTCTTTCTTTTTCCCCCTTTGCATGCCTAATTTCCTTTCTGTTTCTGTAAGTAGTGGTTCGGAGATGCTGAGAAGCTCACCAAGGCTCTTTTTTCATTTGCCACTCGATTAGCTCCTGTTATCATTTTCGTTGATGAGGTAAAGATCTTTTTATTCATATGTAATCCTCTGTATTATCCCTGTGATTTATTGAGATTCATTCTTGATGATTTGCGGTGTTATCGTGCGGACCATTTATATGACTTTTAACTTATGCATCTAGCATATTCAACACAATCCAAAATCTGAAAAATCAAGGAAAAGGAAAGAGTTAAAAAGTTTGGGATCTTTTTTATTTAACTTGATACACCATTAAATAAATACAGAATAATGTTAACACCATAAAATAATTGCACATTAATGTCTTGCCAAAATGAAAGTACCTTCGTATTTTAAAAATCCAAGAGTGAGTCAATGTCTTTCTATTGGTGTATGAACTGAATGGTTACTACAAGTTTTTGCCTCCTTCAATTTTTTAAAGTTGTCAATATTTACTGATATTGACATCTAATTCAAGCAGCTCACGTGGCATGTTGCAATCATATAGGTCAGTTAGTGCAGCAAAGTTATGTTGGATTATATATTTGCTGATATTTACTTGTATCTTGTGAATATCATCCAAGAAATGTTACTGGATTTCGTCAGATACTGGCATTTATAAATGATGGTGAAATCAAATTCAGAATTCACAATAAAATGACGAGCTGGACTTGAACCTATGACTAGCTGGATTTTGTCAGATAATGGCATTTATAAATGATGGTGAAATCAAATTCAGAATATCATCTTTATTTAATTTGTTGCTTTTTTTATCTACCTTCTAATATAGGTAAACCTATGACGAGCTGGACTTGAACCACATATCTCTTTCACAATTGCAACAGGCTTTGTCTTCTTTTTGCTTTTTTGATGTACCTTTGAATATAACTAAACCTATGGTGAGCTGGATTTGAAGCACACATCCCTTTCACAATTGCAAGAGGCTTTGTCCAATAATACATTGAACTTGCTATATTTAGTTTCGTAAATATTTTTGAATGGGAAAAGTAGAATAAGCACAAGAAACAAAATACCAGAAAAATAGCTTAACACAGTATAGGAAACGTTCCTAACTGATCATTATTGTAACTCATATAGTATCTTCTAACCCCCAACATTTATAGTTGCGATTACTGTGGGACCAAAAAAAAAGAAAAAGTAATATCACTGCTTTTTGTCTCTGGTATACTGCTGTTTGTTACAAGCGTAGTTGACCTCTCCCTGTTTTAGAATACTGTCTGTAGGGTAAGTAAACTTATGAGCAGTTCCATTTGGTTCTTATCCGTATCTTACCTTAGAAATGTGATTCTTCAAAATAATATCCACAATCCCCACAGTAGCTGTTTTTATAGATTCTTCCATGGTTTAGTAGAACTTTGAGTTGATGTCCACGTTGATGAGCTTAAAATTCATGATGAAAAGGTAGGCTACCTATCAAACAACTGGCTGCCATGATTATATAGGAGGTTCCTTGTCTTATTTATTTTCTGCTGGCAAACTTGGCCCCATCCTAGGAGTTGGTCATATTTTGGGCACTTTTTCGACTTTGTATCTTGTAATGGCAAACCTATTTTGAAAGTTAATTGCTTAGTTAAAGATGTTTAGTATGTGTTTGGTTAGTAGAATCTTTTTGAATAGTTTTGTCTTTTTTGGGTGATGGAACACTGTGACCACCTTTCAAGGTGCTACATTAGTCTACAACTTATAGCATCTTATTCTATGCAGAATGCAGATGCTTTTTTTTAAAACTAACTGTAAATGTGATTTTTGCAGGTTGACAGTTTACTTGGAGCTCGTGGTGGTGCTTTTGAGCATGAAGCAACACGGAGGATGCGGAATGAGTTTATGGCAGCTTGGGATGGTCTGAGGTCAAAGGACAGTCAAAGGATTCTTATACTTGGCGCCACAAACCGTCCATTTGACTTGGATGATGCTGTTATCCGCCGATTGCCCAGAAGGTAACAATTGGAAACATTAATGAACTCATACATCCTTTATCTGATGATTAATTTTTGTTAGTTAGTGAGTTCTGTGATAATTGTGAGCCTGTAGGATATATGTAGACCTTCCGGATGCTGAGAACAGGCAGAAAATTCTTAGAATATTACTCTCTCAAGAAAATCTAGAGCAGGGCTTTAAATACGAAGAGCTTGCCAATGCAACTGAAGGATATTCAGGAAGCGATTTGAAGGTATGTTTGCGTAAATATGCCTGCTTCTGTGAATCTTATGTTTTGCATTTTCTAACTATCTCACTACTGCCATGCAGAACCTGTGTGTTGCTGCTGCATATAGGCCTGTTCAAGAACTTATAGAGGAAGAGAAAAAGGTATGAACCTGATCTAGGCACATAACGTAAAAACCAAACTAACACATTTCCTGAGAGAATTGAACCAATGTTAGCACAGTGAGGTCAAATTTCATTTTAGCAGGATCATTGCCATGTGATCATAAATAAGTTTATCTGGGTTTACTGTTAGCATAGACAGTACGAACTGAAACACAAACAACTTTCTTTGCTTATGGAGGGTAATACTGTAAGTAACTAAATGGAGCATGTAGATAACTCTCTGGTATTGAAACAGATTTGTCGAACCCATTCAATCTACAGATATGAGAATGCACCCAAAGCCTCTCTCTATAGATCATGTTGTCTCTAGGAAAGGTCATTGCCCGTCTTTGATCTTGGCAAGGAGTACAGTCATTATATTTGTCATCACAAGGCTAAAGTCCGGACACTTATCAGAGAGGTCATTAGGAATGTTTTCTTTATTGTGATGTGTCTCAAAGTTAAGATTAGGCAAGAGAGTACAATCAGTTTGCTTATTGACCTGTACTCCTATGCTGTCTCCCTTTCCAAATCCACTCCTCTGCCAAGCGCCAAGTAAATAGAAAAAGCAACACAAACTGACCACGATGATAATTGATACAGAGCTTCGTGTTCTGTTATCCCCCGGGTTTCCTTTCATAGCCATTATGCGCCTGAAGTACATTAAGTTTAAATAACCTCAGAAGGGATCAATTGAATAAATAATTAATTGTAGAAAACAACTAAAAAAAGCATCATCACTCTGAATGTAACATACTCAGATATTGAAATAAAGTATCACTATCAAGAAAAGGATGCAATCATCACTCTGAATGTAACATACTCTGATATTGAAATAATTAGCACTATCAAGAAAAGGATGCATCAAACCTTATGTCTAAGAAAACGAAAAATAGCTTTTTTTCATAGAAAGCTCTATCTTAATAAAACATGCCTTTAGATTTTTTTTTTTTTGAAAAACACTCCCTAAAACTAACAATGGATCCGTGATTGAATCAATTGGTTGGAGGTAAAACAACACAAATCTACTAACATCAACATTAGTGATGCATTATTTTTTCCCTCGAGAATTATTAGTGATGCATAATGATCAGTCAAATGCTTAAGGAAGAAACAATCTACTTGCTAAATGGAGTAATATCACTTTTATATTCAGCTCCCAAGTTAATTTTGGGGGGTGGGGGATAACATGTGGTTTACGCTAAGCCAACATTAAGAAATCTAAATCCTCTCCCCTAGAATGTACTAACGCTCGAACAGCAAACCCAATAAAAGACATGACTCGATAATAAAGTATCTTCTACAAGAAAAAAACCAATAAACACGATCCATTATTAACATTTCATCCCACAATCTAAATAACAAATAAAATCTAAATTTGAGAAGAACCCATCTGCTATCCAAAAAGGGTCAACAGCAAAACAACCAAATCTATAATATTAACAAAATCTAATCTTTATAAGAGAAAAACGAACCAAGATCTAAACTTTGCAAGACCAGAGGAGGAGGAAGAGAGACCTTACCTAGATCTTTGATCAGAGGAGACAGCTGCAGATTCAGATTTGAGAATGGAAGAATTACTGTTGGAAATTAATATACACTGTCATTACTTCCCACTGATTTTATATTAGACAATGATGATGAGAAAGAAAAATTAATTCATGTACCAACAGTAAAACATAGGGTGGAAGTAGAGAATGTAATAAAAGATCATTAAGGATAACAGCTACAATTAATTAGTTTATGGAGCCCACAGCGGTCACCAAACTGCACACTAAAAGGACACTACAGCTTTGAGTCCCACTCTGTTGAGGGAGGGATTGGGTCGGGGTGGGGTTTAACCTGACCCCACCTTACGGTGTCGGTTTTGATGAGTATGAGTCTCAAAAGTCGAAATATTAGGATGGACTGTTTTCATATGAGTGGGTCTCTATGTAGGATTGGGACTCGTTAAATTTTGAGATATTTTGTGACAAATCTATGATATTTTGAGGAGGAAAATTATTTACTTATTCGTATGACATTGCTTTGAAGCTTATGCTCTTTCCAAGTAGGATAAATATCGTAAAACCCTTCCCATCACATTAGGGTCGGGAGCGGGCCGAGTCGACCCGCGGGCTAACCCGGCCCACCCCGGCATGGGTCATGATCCGGCCCGGCCCCTAGTGGGCCGGGTCCAACCTGGCCCGTGACATACACTGGTCACGGGCTGAGCTGGGTCCAGCTCCAGACCCACCTTGACCCGACCCACTATCAACCTGGCCCGGCCCACAACTACCATGTTCTATCTACGGTGGCTATTATGTGTAGAAAGCTGGCATGTTTTCAATTTGAGCCTGGGAATAGGAGCTCAGTGATCAACCAAGAGGCAATAATCACTATTTGTAATTAAAACGTTATGTTTTCATTGATTTTTTTGCTTCCCTTGCGACGTACTGGTTTCCTTCTCTTGTCATTTTTTCTGTCCCTTTGAGGGTTTTTATCTCTCAGCATAACTGTTCTTGTTAATCGGCAGAGTGAAGGTAGTGCAACACCTCAACTGAGACCTCTTAATTTAAAGGACTTCATAGAAGCTAAATCCAAGGTATTGCTCGGTTTTTTGAAAAGATATCTACATCTGGCTCTATCCCGTGTTATTTTGATGACTTTGCATTATTTTATATTGTAGGTTGGTGCATCTGTTGCATATGATGCTGGTAGTATGAATGAACTCCGAAAATGGAACGAAATGTATGGGGAGGGTGGCAGTAGGAAGAAATCACCATTTGGCTTTGGCAACTGAATACAGCATTAAAAATCGTTCTCTTTTCCCTGATCATCTTTTTCCGATCAAGATACCCCTAATTTTTTTTGAAGGCAAATAAATCAGCAGATGTAGAAGCCAGGAGCAGCAAAATGGCGCACGACTAAGTGTTGTGTTCAGGTCGTACCTATGCCTGAGCTATCCGTCTTGTTTGCTAATTATGGCTATGTCGTTTGATCCTCAGAGGAAATATGAGCTTTCATAAGTTCGCCAAGGGGCTTCACCTTACACTATAGAATGCAGATAACACAAGTTTAGCTATTCCAAGCTTCATGATTCATAGAACAGTTTTTATCAGGTCTTTCTTTTAAGCTTCAATAGACCTTAGTTCTATATGTAATATGTTATATAATTTTTTTCACTGTAGTGGCATGTAATCTTGCTAATTATATGTTAAACTTTGCTTTGCTGAAGATCATAGTTCTTGTTAGATCTGTCGGTGAAAATTTTCAGATGCCGTTTTTCCTTGGATTGACCACATGTACTGTTGTAATACACCAAGAGAGCCTGTGATAGGTGAATAGATTTTGACTTAAATGTATTTTCTTTCTGCGGCATACCCTCAAATCTTTCTTTGCGTAATGACTAGACTTTGTTCACAGGCTATTTGAACTCAATAAATCTTTTTCTATGTTATTGTTATTAGTTTATTCTCTGCTACTCGTGGACGGATACGGCTCGCGGTTTTTTGGTCAAATATAATATTTTTGCCGAAGTTACGAGGGTGGGTAATGGACTATATAGATTATTTCATTATCAATGTTTGATGGATATATATATATATATATACACACACACACGATCCTCTCTCAGTGTAACTTTTGATTTTTGTTACTTCAGTTAAGTGGCAGGATCTAAATTGACGTATGAATTACCTATGTCTTTTTGGTATCAAAATCTCCCCAAGTTCAAGGGTATAATATTCTTGATCAAAAAGTGGATATAAGGGCATGTGGATCAATCAATACTGCCCTGCCTTCGAAGTTGTTTCATTCTTGAGCTGTTTTATTTTCATAGCTTTCCTTTGTACGTTTATTCTTTGTTTGAAATAAATCCAGAATCCATCACAAAAATTGGAAAGAGAAGTCATCTCTTTCACTCTTCATAGTGCTGGACAGTGTAATAAGGGTCCCATCTTATCTTAAACCTTACTGCTTGTCAAGGAGCTGTGCATGTGAGCATATAGGAATATTGAACTCATGAGAGAGAGGAAGAGAGAGTGATGGAGCAAAAGTGACCTTTCTGTACTATAGTCACAAGTTCAACAAACTGAAACACTATATGTCATGGACATTGCACTTTTGGATCAGAATAAAAATATTCTTTCTGTAATGTAGCAATTTATTGTACCATGCTAGTATGATTTGCAGGACCAAGGATTAGAGTGGGTAAGTATATAGATTGCTCAAGCGAGGCTATTGACTACCTAATGATATTATACGAAATACGTCGAAAAGCTCAACCATAATTATTGAAGTACATAACATCGAAAGTGTTTATCGTTCAAGAATTCCATGATCAATGAGAAAGGAATCAGTAAGAACATCATTTGGTCCGTTCAGTAGCTTGTCATTATTGCCAAATCAGTCACAAATCCTTGGCCAATTTCAGAATGTCCTAAACTACAATAAAAAAACTGCGGCTTGGCCAAATTCTTATTGTAGATTTATGTTTATCGTCACTTTTAGAAAGATTCCTATTCTGCTCTAGTTCTCATAAACTAGCTCTGATTGTAATAGAAGTAACTAAAATAAACAAGAGAACATTTGATTAAGTTTGGATGCAACAACTAATGTACAAAAAGATGCTATCTATTTATGTTAGCAAAGTTGTTGGTCATGAATCCTGCTCATGAAAACAACTAAGGCGTCGCAGTCAGCCAAACTTTCTAAGTTCCTCGTAGAATTGGTTTATATACCAAGATTATGTCATCATGATCAACATTAACATGCTATTAGGTCATCTTTTACATTATAATAGCATTCGTTACGATAAACATCACCGCATCAATGATTGTTTGATTTTGAAGCTTATGTCAAGAGCTTAAGCCTTTAAGTTGTCGTCAAGGGCTAACTTTTTGCCACAAGAAAGCATCGACCTTTTTCTTCATCTGATACTCACATTCATAAAGTTAATTTGTAGAGGTTGAGAACGGCATATTCTATACATTAACTGCAAGTATGATGCACAACATTAACACATCTCCTCCGTGCAAGTTAAGTTTCGCTAATGTTATTTTGCAACAATGGAGGAAATTACGCTTTGAAATCCCTTAAGAGGGACTTAGAATTGAAGTTACGTTTGGAAAAGGTTTAAGCAGGACTAAATGCCTTGGATTGTTCAGGAAGCACCGATGCCTGAGTAATGTTTGTGAAACATTTGTAACTTTTAGCTTGCAAAAATTTTTCCCTCTCTATATGATTTACTTAGGGCCCGTTTGGTTGATGTTTTTGGCCTCGGGTGTTGGGCAGAAAGTTTGCCAAGCCAAAAGTGCTCTTTTGGCAAGCTTTCTGCCCAACACCCGAGGCCAAAAACATCAACCAAACGGGCCTTAGTAACTTGGCAACCTCTATCAATAGATTCTACACCAAAATCAAGCTATGTACTACCTCACAGGTTCGAGGGCAATATATGCTCAAGCCAATCATGCCGCCCTCCTACTTTGCCCATGTGGAAGTTGTTAGTGGTTAGTGGCTACTTATTTTTGAGCAAGTTGTTAGTGACTTGATTGCGCCCATCAACTACCACCGCCTCGTTCACTTTCCAAACAAATGGTCCATCATAGAAAATTAATCATCATCTCATAGAAAATCATCATCTCATTACCCATCAACTAGAAGACAATAAATTATATCTAAATTCGTTAATTAGCCCACTAAACAACTGATACTCTCGACGATTGTCTATTCTTGAATCACTGCAGAAACAAAAGGCTTTTTTTCAAAATGGGAAAAAGAAGTATCAAATGGGTTCCGAATTCACGAAAGGCTTTCAGAATGAGGAAATCATCATGATTGTCGAGTGTAAAGGTTGTAGGTGCAGCTAGCCCAAATAAGAGGCGATCCGTGTCCAGTTGTATCCTTGGTACTTTTAGCCATGTTGGTGGATGTTTTAGATGTGGATTGATTGGTGAGAGGCCACTTGATCCTTGTGATTATTTCTCACAACTAACTTCCCCTTAAATGTCCTCCTCCTCATCCACCAAGGAATTTGGGATACAGATTTTAAGAGTGTGACACTATACCAAACCCCTCCCTCACAAATCTTGTCACTTTATTAAACAGTAACTCTCCTTTTGAGTATGAACAATATAAGTTCATGTACCCTCTTAATTCTATTTATGTATCCATCTTTTTTTTTTTTTTTTGTTTGACAACTTCTTAAAATTGGGCAGCTTTTGATCTGTAAGTTGGTATATATCCACAACTGGTTTAGTCGTAGACCAACTTACCCCTTGACCACAACTAAGTCCGTCTAGGGGCCCAAAATTGAACCAGAGCAAATCGGATTAATTACGGACCAGTTTTTGCTAATCAACAAGACAATTTTAATCCGAACCACGTTTAAACCTGGCCAGGTTTAATGAGTCGCCAAGCACACCCGTAGGCGCATCAAGCAAGGTTGGACATAGTTGATGGCTTAGCTGGTCTTCATCATTGTAGATAAAGACTAGATAGCCAGTGGGACTTGATAGCGCGTATATGTATTGGACTTTGTGAATATCAAAGAAAAACAATGTCGTTTCTCTTGTCTTCCTCTTTATCATCTTCATCCATTTAATGTATTATGGATGTAAGGATTGATCCTTAAAATTAGAATAATAATTCCACTAATTATTATTTATAATCAAACGATTTGCATGGAGACGTGTGGGCTTTCATGGAATCGAACACTGTCTCAATCAAAGCTGCAATATTAATGCGAAGTCTGGACTTGGATTTAGACCCAACATCTAATGATGAGATCAGGCATAATCAACATTTCATACACAAGCAACAAACGAAAAGAAAAGAAAAAACCCTTAAAAGTGTAATTAAAAAAAAAGTGCGGTAGTGATTAATGAAATTGTTAGCCTAATATTCCAGTTCCATGCACTTAGACATCACGTGCACAAATTCCACGAGAGGCTGTTCCCTTGGTCCCCCTACATAGGACCAACTTGACACGTTAGCAGGTCCCACACGTCTGACCACGTTGACCAATCCCGCTAATTTTTTTTAATTAAATCATAAATTGGACTGTTTAGTGTCTTAATAATTCCAACGCATCCATCATGGTCTTTCTTTGTTGCCGTGTTCATTATCCTTTTATATATTTATATCTTTCGAGGATAAGACATTTTTAGCAGTATTCAAATTTAAATGAATTTCTTTCCACTCCACCGCCTTGCGAAATATTACTTTTATCTTTTAAATAAATTTTCAGGCACAAAAAAAAAAGGAACTGAAAACGCTTTCTAAAAGATGTTCATTTAAAATGTGAGCACGTTAAAATCCCATTGTTTGTTGTGGTGGACCGCGAGGGTCTCAAGCTCAGATGGGCGGGGCCCACTTGGAGAAATTAAGCCCGAAAAGGCCCAATGAGGAGTTGGTATCCTGAGAAACCGTGCGAGTGGTGACTGGATCTCAGACTCGCAGGGCGTTGCGACTTCCTCTCACGGGCGGCAGCAGCAGCAGAAGCAATCCTCCTTAATGTGAGTGCATTCTGTCACTTTTCTCTTTTTAAATAAAATTCTATAAAGTTTCTGAGAAATTTAACGTCTTATCTTATGAGGCGTATCTTTGGCCCAAAACCACGCAAATTTGGATACTGTCCTTGTAGGCTGTCTAAAAATCACTACAGATAGCTTATCCCTATCAAACATCAACGATGGAAGTTACAATCTGACGACTTCCAGAAGACTACAATTTGAAGACTTTCACGTAGAAGGTTACAATCTGACGACCTTCACAACAACTAATGAAAGCTTTAATTCAACAGCCTTCACAATCAACATCGGGAGTTACAATCTGATGACTCTCATATTTTCAAGGAGCCAAGACGAAGGTTACAAGGTGACGATCTTTGCAACGCTCTAGAGACTACAAATTGACGGTCTCTTCATATTAAAACACAGATATCTCTCAAACCGTAAGGAATTTGGCAAAACTGACGGAGCAAACCAAACCCCATGGGGTTGGTTTGGTCGGCTCCGTCTCGTCGAGATAGCCGATTTTCATATATAATTCGCCCAATTCCGACTTACGGTTTGAAAGTTATGACCTGTTCTTCACAGCAATTTATGTTCTGAAGTCCGTCTGCAAGACTGGACTTCGTCAGAACATCGGACTTAGCCTAAAGCTCGCCGAGCCCACCTAAGGCTCACCTCTGCATCCAAGATTCAAAACGCAGAGGTCGTGCCCGCGTTCTAAACTCAAAACGCAGAGGTCGTGGCTGTGTTCCAGATCCAAAACGCAGAGGTCGTTGCTGCGTTCCAAACTCGAAACGCAGAGGTCGTGGCTATATTCCGGAGTCAAAACGCAGAGTTCATCTCTATGCGTCTCAGGTCCAAAACGCAGA